AAGTGGAGACAACCCAAATGTCCTGATGAATGGATAAATAAAATGCAATATCCATACAATGAGATATCCAGAAATAATAAAGTACTGATACATGCTACAACATGGGTGTACACTGAAACTTTATTCTAAGTGAAAGAATCCAGTCACAAGAGACCATGAAATGGATGACTCCATTTATATGAAATGTCCATAACAGGCTAATCTATAGAGAAAGAAAGTAGATTCGTGGTTGCCTAGAACTCATGGGAGGGGGAAATAGGGAGTGACTGCTAATGGATATGGAGTTTCTTTTAAAAACCTTCTAAACTTGCATCATGGTGATGGTTGCACAATTCTGTAAACCACTAAAACCATAGTGTATTGCACAAAACCACTGCCCTGTATCCCTTTCTCTTTCTTAGTGTCTTATTCTGTTCTGTTGTATGGGCTGGAGTGCAGTGGCATGATAATAGCTCACTGTAACCTCAAACTCCCGGCTCAAGCAATCCTTCCATCTTAGTCTCTGGAGTAGCTAGGACTACAGTTGAGAATCACCATACAAAGCTAATGTTTTTATTTTTAGTAGAGATGTTGTCTTGGTATGTTGCCCAGGCTTGTCTCAAACTCCTGGCCTCAAGTGATCCTCCCACTTCAGCCTCCAAAAATCTGGGATTACAGACAGGAGCCATCATGACTGGCTGAACTGTATGCTTTAAATGGGTGAACTATATGGTGTGTTAATTATACCTCAATAAAAATGTTTTGAGGGCAGAGCATGGTGGCTCATGCCTATAATCCCAGCAATTTGGGAGGCCAAGACAGGAGGATCACTTGAGTCACTTGAGTCCAGGTGTTTGAGACCAGCCTGGGAAACAGAGTAAGACCCTGTCTCTACCAAAAAAAAAAAAATATATATATATGGCAGGTATGGTGGTGCATGCTATAGTCCTAGCTACTCAGGAGGCTGAGGAGGGAGGACTGCTTGAGACTGGTTGAGGCTGCAGTGAGCAATGATTAGGCCACTGCACTTCAGCCTGGATGACAGTGAGGCCCTATTGAAAAGAAAAGAGAAGAAAAGGAAAAGGGTGTGGTGGCTCACACCTGTAATCCAAGCACTTTGAGAGGCTGAGGTGGGCAGATCACCTGAGGTCAGAGGTTCGAGACCAGCCTGAGCAACATGGCGAAACCCCATCTCCACTAAAAATGCAAAAATTAGCTATGCATGATGGCGCATGCCTGTAATCCCAGCTACTTGGGAGGCTAAGGAAGGAGAATTGCTTGAACCAAGGAGGCGAAGGTTGCAGTGAGCTGAGATTGTGCCACTGCACTCCAGCCTGGGTGACAGAGTGAGACTCTGTCTCAAAAAAAAAAAAAAAAATTGAGAGAGAAAAGGAAAGAAGAGTTTCACCCAAGGACCTGTGAGGGGCTGAGTATGCCTAAAGTATATAGTGCTGGGACAATGAGGTGAGACAAAGAGGCTGGAGAGATCAGTAGGAACCAAGTCATGAATGGTCTCATGGGCAGACTAAGGAGTCTGGATATTTTCCTGAAGGTAATGGAGAGGCACCAAAGAGTTTTAAGGAGGGAAGCAACACATTAGATTCAAATTGTAGAATACAACTACTCCAGCCACAGTGGGGCAAGCCTGGATGCAGGAAGGCAGGTGGGAGACACACAACCAGGGCAGTGGGAAGAGCAGGGGACTCTAAAGGCAGCCCTGGCTCACTATGCCTTTCCTTGGAATGCCAGGAACCATATATTTTTACAGACACAGTCCCTACTCTCAAGTTACTTATACTTTAGATGGCAGGAAGAGAGGCTCACATGAATTAGGATAATACCGATGGAATCCGGCAAGCTTCAGAGGAGCTTGGAAATACCGGTGAGGTTCAGTCTGAAAGTCACTGAGCTGGGGACTGGCAGGGCTGCATGCAGGTGTTCTTTGAGAGTCTTCCTGTCGAGACAACTCTACCCAGAATTCAGAACAGGCAAAGCCCCAGGTTATGAAACCAGCCTCCATTTTTCCAGTCAGACACTGGCAAATTGCAGAGAACCACAGTATCTCAGACCTGGTAGGGATCAGAAAGACCCCTGAGCCCCTCCCTGTCTGATGTCTGAATTCTACCTACAGGACCTCTGGCTTTTGTTTTGTTTTGTTTTTTTTGAGAAGGAGTTTCACTCTTGTCGCTTAGGCTGGAGTGCAGTGGTGCCATAGCAGCTCACCGCAACCTCCCCCTCCCAGGTTCAAGTGATTCTCCTGCCTTAGCCTCCTGAAGAGCTGAGATTACAGGCGCCTGCCACCACACCTGGCTAAGTTTTGTATTTTTAGTAGAGATGGGGTTTCACCATGTTGGCCAGGCTGGTCTCGAACTCCTGATCTCAGGTGATCTGCCCACCTCGGCCTCCCAAAGTGCTGAGATTACAGGCATGAGCCACCACGCCCGGCCAGACCCCTGGCTTTCTTAAAGACCTCCAGAGTCACCACAAAGGTGGTCCATTCATCCCATCTTTGGATGCCTAGGGCTGTCAAACCTTTCTCCTTTGAGCTTGGCTGCCATCCCCTGATACAGAGCTCTGCCATTAAGGCCACCTGGACAGGCCCATCCTTCCACAGCCTGAACCTTTGGCTCACTGACACTGGCCACCACATGCCCTGCACCAGGTCTTCTCTACTTAAAGCTACACCGATGTTTCTATCCCTTCCATGATTCCTCTGGGAGGTGATCTTGAGTTTCTACTCTGGTCATTCTCAGAAATCACTAAGATTTCTTGGGGAAGACGTAACAAGTAACAGCCTAACAACCAGAGCACTTGACTGACCACAGCAGAGACAAGCAGACCATGTGGCTTAAATTCAAAATGATCACAGACAGCCGGGACACAGGTTGACACAGATGACCCTGGCTGGACAATATAACTACTAAGTTGACTTCCCCCAAGATATTACTAAAATACACTTTCTCCACCCTGTGCTTGTGGAATAGTATGTTTGGCTCTTGTACAGGAGAGCTCACCTCTCTCCTCAACTGCCTCAGACTTTAGAACAATCACTTTACAGTTGGTCAGATGGTAATGGACAGGAAAAAGAGGATGCAAGAGAAAGTGGAGAAGGGCAGCAAAGAAACAAAGGGAAGAGTTCCCAGCCCAGCAGTAAGCCATACCAAGTGTCATCATGTAAAGACTTTCTCGGGAGACAAAAACAGAGACAGGATGTCTAAAACCTTTATCCAAGAAAGCCAAGAGAGCTATGAAGGGCCTTGGAATTGTAAAGGACTGGGAGGTTGGTGGGGAGAGAGGCGGGTATGTTTGCAAGGCCAGACAGACCAGGAGGAGAGGGAAACCTGAGCAGAGGGTACTGGAGACATCCCTCTCAACCAAAGCAGATATGTTAAGCTGATGAAATGACATGAGCCAGCAGACACCTGAGGACACCTATGTCAGGAAGGCTGGCCCTGCAACCAGCAAGACCTCCAAGACTCAATAGTTTTGCAGAAGTCAAGCTAAACCTTTACTAATTGAGCTCCTCATTTACTTGTTTATACCTGTCTACACCACGAAAAAATGGGAGGCATTTCAAAGGATGTACAAATTAAAGCAGAAACCTGAATAAAAATTAGGAGCAAGAAAGGAATTTTGTGTATATTATCTTACTCAACTTCTACTTTTCACAGCTGAGAAAACTGGGACTCAAAACAAGTCTCCTGCCTAGGGTTTCACCATTACTAATTGACAGTTAGATTTGAATCGAGGTAAAACATTCCTTTCTGCACCATGATGCTTTTAACTTTGGTCTTCTCTGTGGACACTCCTTACCCAGGCAGAGGGCAGAGTGGTCAGGAGCTCAGACTCTGAAACCACAACACTGACTGCAAGCCCTGGCTTCACCATGCACTGCTGCAGGTGACCCTACATCTTCCTGATCCTCAGTTTCCACAGCTGTGAGATGGGTATGATTGTAAGCACTTAAATCCCCAGAAATGTGATGAGAGTTAAATGAGCTAATATTGCTAATACACTTTTAAAACAGTTCCTGGCACATACAAGCACTAAACTACATTAACTAAACTAGCGAGCTAAACTAGACATGAACTTGGGTGAGCAGCTCAACCCTCCAAGCCATCATCTGTAAGATGGAGATGATCCTATAATATCTCCCAGGCATAATGACTAAATGAGATAATACATAAAAAACATCCATACATGTCAGTTATCATTCCTCTCATGCTACCTTATTTAAAGTTATCTCTTCTTCCATCCTGGGCTAAACGTTATTTGATAATCTAGCCACTCAAATCATTACTGAAATTAGCATTTGATATGTCACTTGATTTGGAAACATAAATGTAAGCTGGAAGAAAAATCTTGCAATGCAATGTGAATTCATTAAAATTAAAAATAAAACACAGGAAGGACAGGTGATATTAATAGAATTTCTGGCCAGGCATGGTGGCTCATGTCTGTAATCCCAGCACTTTGGGAGGCCGAGGTGGGAGGATAGCTTGGGCCTAGTTCAAGATCAGCCTGGGCAGCATGGTAAGACCCCATTTCCACACAAAAAATTAAAAATTAGCCAGGCATGGTGGTGCATGCCTGTGGTCCCAGCCACTGGGGAGGCTAAGACGGCTGTGTTCTTGCCACTGCACTCAACCCTGGGTGCAGAGTGAGACCCTGACTCAAAAAAAAAAAAAAAAGAGGGAGAAAAGAAAAGAGAATTTCTTTGTTGTTTACTTTAAGAATATGTACGTAGATGGCATCAGGGCAAATGAATTCCACAACAGGAGCCCTAGAGCCTGTTGGGTTGAGCCCACCTCACCCTGCACCCCAGCTGCAGTAAATGGGAGGAGGATACTGTGGAGTAGTTAGTGATATGTTTGGTTTTAGAGTGCTCAGATTAAGTGCCTCCCCCTCGGTGTTCAAACTTTTATTAACGTATATTTGTAACACAGTAGACCAATGATAGTATAGTTTAAGCATATGCTTGGCAATGTTTTCATTTAAACCACACCAGTGGGATATCTAACCTTTACACGGTCAGGGTCCACATAATGCATTTTTTTCATGTCACATTCTTCAGTAGTATAATTTAACTTGAGGATATAAAGGATCCACACTCCAAACACAAGCAATGTACATCTGGAAAAAAACCAATTAGGTATTATGATTTGTCATGTGAGAATCATGAGACATAATGTGAAACTGAAAATGGAATCCTAAATGGGTTTGCCTGCTATGTAGCATAAAACTACAATCTTTAAGTTGATGATGGGGTAAAAGAGAGGGGCCATTTCCTATTTTCCTGACAAGATAAACTGGTCATTTATGAGTCTTTGTTATAAGCAACACAGAAAAAAAATTCTTTGCATGAGCACTGTAACAAAATCTGAATCACAATTTTAAACTTAAAATCAAGTAATAGATTTGAACTATAATTCTTGGTTCAATCTTTTGTGATTTTAAAATTCTGTCAGTCCTTAAAAAGAAACAGAAACAGTCTATTCATAGTACTTCTAAAGAATTCTACTCAGAAGTGAAGCTGACTGTGAAGTGAGAGAGAACCATTAGTTACCTTTAAGATTACCTAAAAAATATTTGTAAAGATCTGATAAATTCACACTATTGTATAGTTTAATACACACACACACACACACACGACTTGGAGAAAAGAGCTGAGTCTAGTCTTAGTTTTAGAAATCTCGTTTTTAGTGAGCTCTCCAGTGACACAAACTACAAGCTAAAAAGTTTCAACCAAAGTTTAAGAACCACTGCTTTAAACAATTCTGTTCTTGAAAGAACAAATATAAGGAATAATTTAGGAGAAAACAATCCATTTTCTAAAGGAAGGGAAGTTTTTTTGTTTTTTCAAAAAAAAGCATCTAGTGTAACATACTATATGTAATAGATGCAAAATATTTCTTAATATTTGAGGATGAGAATACAATGAAGTGTTGCTGGGAGTGTTTCTAAGACTTTAAAATTCTCATTTAAACAGGCTTCCCACAACAACTTGGACAAGCATCTTAATTCTTCCCTGGGGTTGTGTATAATGATAAGTGAACAGGATGCTATCAGTTTGAATACGAAAGTGGGTTTGGGCAGGGGGCACGGCAGAGTACACACGTACACACACACACACACACATAAACACACACACATATATACACAAGAAACTGGTGACACTGGTTATCTTTAAGTATGGAGGGGAAATGAAGAGTAGGGATGATATGTTTCACTGAGACTCTAATTTAATCTTTGAATTTTCAATCTTGTAAACCTAGTATTACCTATTCTCTCCAGCCCCAGAAAAGGTGTTACATTCAGTGCATATACTTCTCTTGTTTTGATTTTTTAAAAAAAAAGAAAGAAAATGGTGTGAAGGTGAGCCCAGTGTCTGTGGCACATATCAGACTGTACCTTAATTCCCGGCACAAGTCCACCTCACCCACAGCCTAAGCAGCACAGGGTGTGGGTCTATTCCACCTGCTGCCTTGTGGCCAACGCCCAGCACAATGTCAGGCACATGGTGGACCTCAAAAAATATTGACTGGTGACTAAAGGGAGGCTGAATGTGACATAAGCCTTATTCTTAGAAATTTCCTTTGCTCCTACACCTCCTAAGTTAGTAAAGTAAGACAGAAGACTAGATTGCAAGGTTGGATTTCTATCTTTAGACATGAAAAAAGGGCAATTTTCAACTGAATTTCACTGGTATATATGTAGGAAAAAACCCTGCCAAGTTCCTCCTTGATTAATTCTACCACTTATTAGGATATAAGGGTGACCTGGGCCAAACACCTGTCATCGTTTTTAGTATTCAATATTTAATAGTATTCAAGTGCCTTCAGGGAAATTTAATTAAGTATATTTTAGATTAACTTACAATAGCTAAGGGAAAAGCCCTCTTTTGTTAAATAAGGGCATGAAGAGCAGTGCACGGTGAGAGTTGCTCTCCTAGGCATCCAGGCCAAGGTACAGAGCCCAAGCAGCTACCGGGCACTATGCGCTTACCGAATCCAGCCAGCTGTACAGGCCCACGCCAGCTGTGCACTCACTTTTTACTCAGATGTGCCTTTGAACGATCCTTTGACCAAGCATGGCTCTCCAACATAAGCCATCTTTAGGGCTGTCACTGAATTTTTCTGCTAGTTCTACACAGATGACCCAAAGCAGGGAGATCTACAGTCCCAGGGGCAGTACTTACTTGAGGATGTCTTTTAACAACAAGCTGGGCCTTCTCATCTTGCTTTGAGCTCGGGTGTACCATTGCAGGGAAGGCCTCGAGCAATCACTTCTCAGTTTCACATAGGTGTACTCACTTGGCATTGCTGTGAAGAGAGGGGAAGAGGGCAGTGGGGGCAAAGAGAGGGGAGAGTTAGGAAGATTATGGTTTTCAAAGAGCCTTTAGGTGTTGCATCCATACCATGGAATACTATCCGGCAATTAAGAAGAATGAACTATTGTTACATGCAACTAAGTGGATGAATCTAGAGGGAACCATGCTGAGCTGATACAATATTACATACTGTATGATTCCTAATATTCTTCAAATGACAAAATTATAGAAATGGAGAACAGATTAGTGAGTGTCAGGGGTTGTGGAGGGGGAGGTAGGTGTAGCTATAAAAGGGCAACATGAGGTTGTGGGGATGGAGACGCTCTGCATCTTGACTATCCATGTCAGATTCCAGCTGTGATAGGTACTATAGTTTTGCAGGATGCCCCCAATGGGAGAAAATGAGTAAAGGGTACACAAGATCTCTCTAGATTATGTTTTACAACTGCATGTGAATACAATTACCCTAAACGTTAAAGTTGATTTTTAAAAAAGGGTCATTTTACCTTTTAGAGCTATATACAGAAATATCTACAGATCAAATAGCGAAAATTAGATCTGCTTCAAAAACTCAGGAAGGGGATAAATGGAGGGCAGGGGAGAATAGACAAGACTAACTTTAAGCTGATAATCTATTAAACTAGGAGATGGGTACTAGGGCTCACTACAGAATTCTTCCCACTTCTGTGTATGGTTAAAATATTCTATAATAAAAAAAGTTTAAAAAGAAAGCTACATTAAAAGCAGAAGTGCTACATCAAAAAAAAAGAAAAAGAGAGAATATGGCAATTTTGTAAAACTTTTCTTAAAAACTATGCTCTTAAGTATGCCTGCCTACTTACTCTTTTGAATTAATTTTATTTGTAATTTTTCAAGTTCTAAATAATATTCCAAGGGGTACTGTAGTAGAAATTGGTCTGTCTCCCCCATATTCATTTTCCACAGACTCTCAATAGAGCTCTGGATTTTTAGTGGGGTGTAGCACCTCCCAGAATGAAGATTACATTTCCCAGCCTCCTGTGGAGCTAGGACTCAAGACTAAGCGTTAGCCAATGGGATATGAGCAGAAGCATCTTATGCAATTCTCAACGTGCATCCCTTGGCATACTCTGGCTTCTCCTTTATCCCTTCTTCCTCCTGACTGAAATATGGACACATGATGTACCACTCTGGACCACACAGAGAGGACATTACTCAAGGATGGTGGAACAAGAGGAGCTGCGGTCCTTGGGACAACTCCATAGGGCCGAGAGCTGCCACTCTACTTCTGGACTGGTCTATAACAGAGAAATAAAATTCTGTCTTGTTTAAGGAATTGTTAATTAATAACAAAGTTGGCTGGGCGCAGTGGCTCCTGCCTGTAATCCCAGCACTTTGAAAGGCCGAGGCATGCAGATTACCTGAGGTCAGGAGTTTGAGACCAGCCTGGCCAACATGGTAAAACCCTGTCTCTACTAAAAATACAAAAAATTAGCTGGGCATGGTGGTGGGCGCCTGTAATCCCAGCTACTTAGGAGGCTGAGGCAGGAGAATCATTTGAACCTAGAGGTTGCAGTGAGCCAAGATTATGACATTGCACTCCAGCCTGGGTGACAGGGTGAGACTCTGTCTCAAAAAACAGAAGAAAAAAAAAAAGAAAGAAAAGTTATATCTTAACTAATATAGGCACAGGTTACTATTATAATAAATGCATATATTTAAGAATTAATGTCTTCCCTATATTTAGTTTTTAGTCGGATGGAAGAAGTCATATCTTATTATTCACTTTATTTTTCCCATTAGGATTCTGCCATCTTCTTTGAAAAAAAATCTGTTTATCTTAAACTAAATGGGAATTCAAGTATTTTTTTCTGCTACTGTAAACAATCTCTTCCTTAACTCCAATTCTGTGTAGCAATAATTTGTATCATTACGTATAATTCTATCTAAATGTTTTTAATAAGCGTTGAGGGCCTTATTAATAAACCTTTGCTGAAGAATCTGCTGAATTATTAAATGAGAAGTTAGAACAACTGAGATCCTGCAAGGTTTTCAAATACCACAACTCTGTGGTTACTTCACGTATGGTCAAGCCAAGTGGAACCAGCAGGCCACCTGGGCCTGTGTATATTTAAAATGGAAGTTTCTGAGATGACCAGAAAGGTACTCAGTTCACAGCTAAGTGAACCTCCAGAGAACAAAGAAGTCTGTGGCGAGAGTATGAGAAAGACTCGGGGCCTCCGCCCCCAGGTTGCTCTGTGGCTGAGCCAGACAGTGCTCTGGCTCTTGTTCTATTCTGCCCGTCAGACTACAAGCCCGTAAATACTTCCCAAACTCTCTCTTACCAGTTGGCTTCTCGTAAAGTTGTGATCCTAGGATATGCCGGAGAAACAGTGGGAGACAAGGGGAAAGAAATCATCTTTCTTTTCCCCTGATTTGGTGAAGCTTCAGACAGCAGTAGGAGCAGGTAAGGGAAGGTATCTACATGTGACTCCTGCAGCAGTCATGGGCATGCAGGTTCTTGGGTTTTCAGGCAGGAGAAGTCATGGCATTTCCAGCAACTTTGTAACAAGTACAAGCTTCAGACTAGGGGTGACAATGGCTCTCTAAAGACCAAATCCATCTCTCTAACATGGACCTCTTACCTAAGCCCAGAACTGTATACCTAATGACTTGTTTGCTATCTTGAAGTGATTCAAGCAACATTCCTAAACCGAACCTGTATGGGCATTTTCTTCTATTCCTTTCATTATTTGGTTCAGCCATAAGACGAAAACCTGCAGGTCAACCAGACTTTCATTCTCAGTCAATCCCTAGGGCCTGCCAATAATACCTCCTGAATTTCTCTTCTTCACTACACTCCTTTAATAGAAATCACTTACCTGGAACACCCTTATCTCAATTTTGTCCCCTCAAAGCCATCTTTCAAAAATATGTATCTGCCTACTGGCACCCAGCTTATCTCAGATTCTGTGACTCCATGTGACAAACTCGTCTATCACAATGCACGAAGAAGTACTGTTAGAAACCTGGAGGTGCCAAATTGTTGCTTCAGTGCCTTTGCACATGATGTGCCCATCCAACAATGTGCCTGGTGAATTACTTTTCATCCTTAAACCCAGCACCAGCATCAAGCATTTCCTTCTCTCTGAGGTCGTTTTTCAACACCACACCCATCTCTGGGCACGTTCCTATCTCTGTTTGCCACAATGAACTGAATTTTCTTTTGCAGATTCCTGGAGGAATATGCTGCAGCCCGAATTCTGTTCACCTTTGTATCCCTAACACCTAGGACAGAGATTGGCCCACAGCAGCCCCTTAAGAAACATCTCGAATGGAATGAAATGTGCATTACGTGTCTGTAGCCTGTTATCAAACGAGATAAACTTCCAAGAAAAGCATTTTCTCAATATTGGTTAAGGGTAAAACCAAAACTGAATGTTAACAGAAATTATGACGGTAAGAATAAAGCATAAAGTCTATTGAAACATCTAAAATGGCCAGGCGTGACAGCTCACGCCTGTAATCCTAGCACTTTGGGAGATTGGGATGGGAGGATCACTTGAGGTCAGGAGTTTGAGACTTGCCTGGGAAACAGAGTGAGACCCTGCCTCTACAAAAAAATAATAATAAATGAAACATCTAAAATGTCGAACAGCAGGAAATTTGTTGGTAAATTACAGCACAAACTACGTAAACACTCTACAGTACTTAAGATCTTGCTACACAGCAGGTCTCTGACCCGCAGCATCAGTGTAACCTGGAAGCAGGTTAGAAATGCAGAGTCTCAGTCCCCACCCCAGCCTTGCTGACTCAGAATCTGCATTTTAATGAGACCCCGGGACATTCTTATGAACATTAAAGTTTGAGAAGCCCTAAGTACTCAGTACTTAAATTTATTGACACTGAAAAACATAGGGAAAAGGCAGTTTTATAAAAATCTAGGCATCTACAGATGTAGTCACCTCTTGGGATATATTTATTTAAGGTATGTGCTCTGTAGTGGGCAGGCATTTGCAAACGCACCCCCAAAGGCCAAGGATGAGGCCGACAAATTCAGTTTCTCAGAAAGAAATGTGATGAACAGAAGCCACGTTCTGGGTGGCTTCGAGACAGGATGATGGCTGCCTGTGCCATTACTCCCCAGACTGAGGGCTTATCCATCCAGGTCTTATATACCACACTGAAGGAATGTGTAGGACATTGACATCCAACCCTCAGGGAAATGCAAGAATCTGACTAAGGGCAGGACTTATGGTATAATGCCAAGATTGTTCTGACCCAAGGGCAAGAATTACAGTAAGTATATGAAAGTAGAAACCTTAGAAGCATTCCTGGGACTGAGGTTAGCCAGAAGTCAGCATGGCTGATTAGCATCCAAGATGGGGTTGCTTTAGCCTCCACAGTATAAGGGTTTGATTTCCCAAGAGTTTCATCAAATCCCTCTACTTCAGCTCAGCAAAGTATTACTTCTTCTGATGTAAAAGGGACCACGTGGATTCCACGTCCCACAGCATCACAAGAGGAGGGCCAAGCTGGGTGAACTGACGTACAACAGACGAACAGCGGAGTGGCCTCTCCATGCTCCCTTGGAGAAGCCAGGGCTTATCAGTTGAAAGTCATGATCACCTTGACACCATCTGCACTGTTTTCATTCATTTCTTTTGTTTGCAATGTTCTGTTTGGTGAAAAGGTTGAAATTGAAGGCTGGATTATATGAACGTTGAATCAGGGGCATACTTGGTTAATTGCTGAATAACTGTGTCATAAACTTCAATAGCAATTATACTTTTCTTTTTTGGTTTGAAATGGGGTCTTGCTGTCACACTGGCTGGAGTGTAGTGTGATCACAGCTCACTGTGGCCTCGACCTCCTAGGCTCAGACCATCCTCCCACCTCAGCCTCCTGAGCAGCTGGGACGACAGGCACATACCACCATGCCCAGCTAATTTTTGTAATTTTTTTTTGTATAGACAGGGTTTTGCCATGTTGTCCAGGCTGGTCTCTAACCCC